ATTTTTGACTTTAATGGTATTAGTCATGATATGAATCTCAAGGTATGAACGAGGAGAGATGAGAGACTTATATGCTTCCCAAATTTCTTCAAAAGGTAATGTTATACCTGACTGTTTCCAAATGAGTTCAATATCATAACGTGAGAAACCTTGAAAGATAACGAAGTCAGTTATGAGACGTTTTATGTTTAAAGCAAGAAACGCCATGTTTGCATAAGTATTGCTACAGTTAAGTGGTAATGTCTGACTTTAGTAATGATGTTAGCTAATGGTGAGTGGCTTTGACACTAAACCTTTTCCGGCGAAGTCGTCGCAAACGAGCAGAGTGTTTGAAGGATATTTTTTGAAGGGGTATTTTGAAAGTTTTGATAGAATGTAGTTTGTAAGTCGTTTCATATCGTAAACTCCTGAGTATTGACGTAAGTGGTGTTTGTCAATAATTCTTTCCATCTCTTCTGAAGTCTTTTGCATTCCTGACTGTATAAATTCAACGATGGCATAATATTTCCTCTTACGTCGAATGTAACGTTGAAGAAATTCAATGAGTTCACTGTCTGGAACTTTAACGACAGAGGCTTGAACTTTTGACATAAATGTTTTCGCTGTTGAGTCCATAGAGTCTGAAGTTGCTGATATAATGATTTGGTCATAATATGAGTCTTTCCTAAACGCTCTGTTATGAGTATATGACGAATGAGGTTAAATGTCTTACCTGAACCCATCTTTCCACAATAGAAATAAACACCATTTGAACAGAACTCATAGTCCTTACTGAAAGGAAGAATGAGAGAAGAGTTAAGTTTGTCTGTAGTTTCATTCATGTCTTCATCTACGTCATGTATTAAATGCTTCATTTTATCTCCATTAAAAATGCAAGTCAGAAATATTCAGAACATAGCACCGAGTCTAACTGACAAGAGTATAAAGATATACTATGAACACGTTATGATGAAACCTACCAAAATTCAAGAAAGTCAGTATACTTATGAATATCCAAGACACTGGGTAGAGTATGTAGGAGGTGAGAAAGCTATTGAAATCAGACAGGTTCGAAGTATTCCAGCAGGAAGAACAATATTATTGAAGAACTTTAATGTTTTGAGTATAATGATGAAACAAAGAAGCAAGATAGTTTTCCTGTTGCTGTGTATGTGAACCTAGACACAGGAGATGACATGAAAGTTTTTAACACAAAGCTTCAAACGGTAGTGAGAGAACAACTGACTGCGGAAGGCATCCATTACCTTCAGAAGTTACCATAGCATATAATTTTGAAACAAACTCAATAGATTTTAAAGTCATCTCTGCAAAGAAGTCAGGTTTTACATTTAATGAAGCAGATGTATATTCGAATGAAAACTTCAAAGCTATTGCATGGTTAGATAATGACGATTGCTTTAAGAAAATATTTAAATTCAGTGACTCAACGATGTCAATAGATGACCTTCGTGGAATGTTACCATCGACGTTTACAGTAGAAGGTTCAGCAGGATTGCTTACAAGATTGTCAATTGGTGGTATTTGGTCTCGTGAGAACATTGTTATAAAATCCAGTATAAGTGAATTTGCTGAAGAATCTATATTATGTCTTTCAAACTACATGTATTCGCCGCCGAAGCATTATAGTATAACAAACTTTGTCAGTAAGTTTAACATAAGACTTGTCGAACCTTCTTCAATGAAAGATGTTGTGCTACCTAAAGATGGAAAGGATGGACTCATTATTGAGATGATTTTAATAGCATATTAAATGAGCTTGTTCTTGAAGGTCATTCATGATGAAATAACTGTTGTAGAAGATGTTAGCAATTGTTCAGACATTTTGAAGCGAATAGATGAGATAAGAAAGAAGTTAGATAGACCGCAAAGCGGTGAGGGCGAAGCCGTGAGAATGTTTATGTTTCATTGACTTTCTCCAGTAACGAGAACTTTTATGAGATAATATTGAAGAGAGATGATTTTAATATGGTGTAAATGGTAGCTTGGGCAGCTTTAGGCGCAATGGGAACAAAAGCATTAGCATTTGGAGCAAAAGCACTTGGAGCTTATGACGCAGTAAATAAAATGAGTGGAGGAAGGGTTTCGAAGACATTAGATGCAAATAAAGGGAAGATTGGAGGCTGGGTTGCAAAGAAGTTAAGATTAAATAAAATAGGGCTCATAAATAAAGCATCCAATTTGGTTGCGACTGAGTCAGAAAATGCTTTAGGAAAGGACGATGAGTTTGCAAAACACGCAAAAGACTTTAATGACCAGATGAAAGGTGAAACAATGCATTTAAATAGAGTCGATGGAACTCTTCCTCCACCAGTAGTTCTTCCGTATGGTCCCTATGGAATGTATGGAAACCCTTACGAAAGACCATTTGACCCATTGACTGGTGGAAGTAACTGGTATCATTACGGACGAAGAAGAAAGACAGTCAAGTTGGAGACAGACGTGAAGAAAGCAACTAAAAAGAAACCAAGGAAGAGAGTTATAAAGCAATGAATTCATGAGGTGAAAAAAGAGGTGAAAAAAGAGGTGAGATTTCACCACTTCACCTAAATTTATTTTTGCGCTATGTTTTCATACGTGTGAGGGTGGTGATATCATTAATTTTAAGTTTATTTTTAAATAATTTTTTATTTTATTTTGGATGTAAATGACAGAACAAAAGCAACTCATTCGAATTCCACAGTATAACAAACATACATTTAAACATTTATTCTTCCTTCCTGAGCATAACATGTTCTTTCAAATACATCCGAGACCAGTTGACTTTTCATTGACTGTGTATAAAGATAGAAATAGTTATATCATTAAACCATACGATGACGAAGGTAAGTTATGTAAATTGTACGTTAAGAAGTTAGAGAAAGTTTATGGCTTCAAGTATGACTACAATAGGGTTAACACTGATGATGAAGATATTGAGGAAAATTTATGAGAACATTAGTGAAGTCGTTAGTGAGAACGATAGTGAGAACGTTTATTTTTACATTAGTGAGTTCGTTAGTGAAGTGAAGTGGGTGGCGGTTTTGTAAATATTTAAGGTTAAGTTAGTTTTTGCGTTCATGTTGTAAAATATACGTTAACGGTTTTGTAAAGTGTCAAATTCACAAGTATTGGGTAATGTGGAACGCAGTGCCACCATACACGACTTAACCATACTAACTCACGATAACGAACATTCCTCGCTAAATTGCTGAGAAACTTTGAGGAAATGTCGAACAATTTCCTCAAAGTTTCTCAGATTTATATAGATCACTAGAGTCCCCTAGGCACTGATTCTGGTTCAGTACCTAGGAGGCTCTAGTTCTCTAACGAACTGATAAAATGTTTTTAAATTTTTGGATATTGCTACCTGTGAAGCACTGACTTCAAGTCAGTACCTCACAGGTAGCAATTACATTGAAAGATGGGAGAAACTTTGTCCGAATGTTAAACTATTCGGACAAAGTTTCTCCCATTTGTAGTGGAGATGGAAGGCTTTGAGGTATATTATATTAATATATACCCCAAAGTCTTCCATCTCCACTTGAAAGTTCCAAAACTTTGGGTTAATAGTTTGCAATTAACCCAAAGTTTTGGAACTTTCTAGAAGGAATTGCAGGGTAAGAGGTACATATTCATACTATGTACCTCTTACCCTCCAATTCCTTCCTTAACATAAACAAATTTGGAGTTAATTGTTTGCAATTAACTCCGGGTTTGTTGACCTCCAAATGAAAATGAAAGGGTAAGAGGTATATAGTGACCCTATATGCCTCTTACCCTTTCATTCTCATTAATTATGGGAGAAACTTTGGCCGAATGTTAAATTATTCGACCAAAGTTTCTCCCATTTTTTGAAGGGATTGGAGGCTATGAGATACTGATGCAATGTCAGTACCTCATGGCCTCCAATTCCATCCTGAAACTGATCAAAGTGGACCTTACATGCATTTGAAATTTGCCATGTAAAGTCCACTTTTTGAGAGAGAGGATTTGACTGCGTCAAATTCTCTTTTTCGTTTACGAGAATTTCAACTTGGAATTCGCAAGGAGTTGTGCGAAAAACCCAGCCAACATTTTCGGCTCCGTACTCGTCAGCTAGTTCATCCTCGTCATAGCTGTACGAGTACGGAGTGAAGTTTATGGCTGCACGGGCAAATTGAATTTGAATTGGGCTGCGTAAGGTAGGAAGCAACTGGTTGAAGAGTCGTTCTTGAAGTACTCTTACAAGAGTGGGACAATAGCAGACAAGTTCGTCTGCATATTGAATTGAATTCGAACAAATTTGTTCGAATTGGACTGTCGCCGAAACTAGTTGACCAAGAGCTGTAGAATACTCTGAGGTCTGTTCTATACTTTCTTCTATAGAAGAAGCCATGTATTCATCAGCTTTTGACTGCAATTGTTGGCGCAATTGGAAGTTAGATTGCTCGGGGTCAAAGCGAGTCTTTGGAGTGTCATCTGGGACTGGGAGTGACCGTGGAGGATGACAATCCTCTTCCTGGATAGTTGAATCGGAATCGCTACTGTCTTGGTATGACATTGAGCTAAAATGAAGTGAAAAAACCGACCACTTTATTTTTTCAAATAAGAGTTTAAAATAAACGGTTTTTACCAACGGAGACCCCCTCTATTTTTTTATTTTATTTAATAGTTACCGTTGGCAAACCGTTCCATCTCAAATATTGAATGAACTATAAACGTTTTTTGTTTTCTATATATACTTTTTTGTCCAACGGTAAAACTTTTTACACAACGGTTTTTGAGAGTCGTCGCCGTTGACTTTTTTGTAGAGCACTCAAAATAGTATAACTTTGTCCGGACAAGTAAGGGTCTATCGTCGCTACAGGAAAAGTTACAGGCGTTCCAAGGAAGTATACTTTGAGAAGCCTTTTCTCCCTTATAGAATGAGATCGGACGGTTATTTTACAAAACTGACAACACGTTGACCGAGTAGTTTTTTGTGCTGAACAAAAAGTGTCATATAAACATCTGTCAAAAACCGCTTTTTAACTTCACTTAAAATGCCACGTAAGCTACGTAAGAATATACGTAAGAGGAAGGGAGCATTGAAACATCCAATAGTAAAACTGACACCACAACAACAGTTGCAACAACAAATGATGAATGACCCCACTATGTTGCAACAAATGTCAAGCAACCCTATGCTTTTAAGCCGAGTTATTGGTGCACAGAGTGGAGGTTTAAGAGCGGCACTTTTAGCGAAAATGGCAGGCTATGGTGGAGCTGCAGACGGAACAGCTTATAACCCTCAAAGTCAAATGAATTTGAGTTCACTCAAAAATCAAATAACAGATGTCAAAAAGTCAAACATAGACATACAGAAACAAATAAGTGAAAACGAAAAGAAGTTAGTATGGCTAAGTCGTGTACTGAGGCACTGCGCGCCTCCGTACACCACTTAACCTTAAATATTTACAAAACCATTAACATATATTTTTACAACACAAACGACAACACTAACTTAACATTAACGTATATTTTACAACACAAACGACAACACTAACTTAACCTTAAATATTTACAAAACCGCCAACCACTTCACCTCACTAATGTTTTCACAAACGACTTCACTACTGTAAAAATAAACGTTCTCACTATCGTTCTCACTAACGACTTCACTAATGTTCTCATAAATTTTCCTCAATATCTTCATCATCAGTGTTAACCCTATTGTAGTCATACTTGAAGCCATAAACTTTCTCTAACTTCTTAACGTACAATTTACATAACTTACCTTCGTCATCGTATGGTTTAATGATATAACTATTTCTATCTTTATAAACAGTCAATGAAAAGTCAACTGGTCTCGGATGTATTTGAAAGAACATGTTATGCTCAGGAAGGAAGAATAAATGTTTAAATGTATGTTTGTTATACTGTGGAATTCGAATGAGTTGCTTTTGTTCTGTCATTTATATAAAAATAAACGTTCTCGCTAAATAATAAAATAAACTTAAAAATAAACGTTGTCAGAGGTGAAAAATAAATTTAGGTGAAGTGGTGAGATCTCACCTCTTTTTTCACCTGTTTTTTCACCATGTTGAATTCATTGCTTTATAACTCTCTTCCTTGGTTTCTTTTTAGTTGCTTTCTTCAAGTCTGTCTCCAACTTGACTGTCTTTCTTCTTCGTCCGTAATGATACCAGTTACTTCCACCAGTCAATGGGTCAAATGGTCTTTCGTAAGGATTTCCATACATTCCATAGGGACCATACGGAAGAACTACTGGTGGAGAAGAAACATTTTCTTTAGTTCCATCGAATCTATTTAAATGCATTGTTTCACCTTTCATCTGGTCATTAAAGTCTTTTGCGTGTTTTGCAAACTCATCGTCCTTTCCTAAAGCATTTTCTGACTCAGTCGCAACCAAATTGGATGCTTTATTTATGAGCCCTATTTTATTTAATCTTAACTTCTTTGCAACCCAGCCTCCAATCTTCCCTTTATTTGCATCTAATGTCTTCGAAACCCTTCCTCCACTCATTTTATTTACTGCGTCATAAGCCCCAAGTGCTTTTGCTCCAAATGCTAATGCTTTTGTTCCCATTGCGCCTAAAGCTGTCAAGCTACCATTTACACCATATTAAAATCATCTCTCTTCAATATTATCTCATAAAAGTTCTCGTTACTGGAGAAAGTCAATGAAACATAAACATTCTCATTCATAAACTTCTTTCTTATCTCATCTATACGCTTCAAAATGTCTGAACAATTGCTAACATCTTCTACAACAGTTATTTCATCATGAATGACCTTCAAGAACAAGCTCATTTAATATGCTATTAAAATCATCTCAATAATGAGTCCATCCTTTCCATCTTTAGGTAGCACAACATTTCTTCATTGAAGAAGGTTCGACAAGTCTTATGTTAAACTTACTGACAAAGTTTGTTATACTATATGCTTCGGTGGCGAATACATGTAGTTTGAAAGACATAATATAGATTTTCAGCAAATTCACTTATACTGGAATAAACAATGTTCTCACGAGACCAATACCACCAATTGACAATCTTGTAAGCAATCCTGCTGAACCTTCTACTGTAAACGTTGATGGTAACATTCCACACGAAGGTCATCTTATTGACATCTTTTGAGTCACTGATTTAAATATTTTCTTAAAGCAATCGTCATTATCTAACCATGCAATAGCTTTGAAGTTTTCATTCGAATATACATCTGCTTCATTAAATGTAAAACCTGACTTCTTTGCAGAAGACGACTTTAAAATCTATTGAGTTTGTTTTCAAAATTATATGCTATGGTAACTTTCTGAAGGTAATGGATGTCCTTCCGCAGTTAAGTTGTTCTCATACTACCGTTTTGAAGCTTTGTATTAAAAACTTCCATGTCATCTCTGTATCTAAGTTCATACACAGCAACAGGAAAACTATCTTGCTTCTTTGTTTCATCATTATATCTCAAAACATTAAAAGTTCTTCAATAATATTGTCCTTCCTGCTGGAATACTTCTAACTTGTCTTATTTCAATAGCTTTCTCACCTCTTACATACTCTACCCAGTGTCTTGGATATTCATAAAAGTATACTGACTTTCTTGAATTTTGGTTGGTTTCATCATAACTGTTATTAAGTATATCTTTATACTCTTGTCATTAGACTCGGTGCTATGTTCTGAATATTTCTGACTTGCATTTTTAATGGAGATAAAATGAAGCATTTATAATACATGACGTAGATGAAGACATGAATGAAACTACAGACAAACTTAACTCTTCTCTTATTCTTCCTTTTCAGCAAGATTATGAGTTCTGTTCAAATGGTGTGTATTTTCTATTGTGAAAGATGGGTTCAGTAAGACATTCACCTCATTGTCATATACTCATAACAGAGCGTTTAGGAAACGTAATATTACTTTGACCATCATTATATCAGCTTTCTCTATGGATTCACGGAAAACATTCTGAGTAAAGTTCGCATCTCTTGTCGTTAAGTTCCAGACAGTGAACTCAATTGATTTCTTCAACGTTACATATTCGACGTAAGAGGAAAATAATTATGCTATGTAGAGTTCATACAGTCAGGAATGCAAAAGACTTTCAGAAAGAGATGGAAAGAATTATTGACAAACACCACTTACGTCAGTACTCAGGAGTTTACGATTATGAAACGACTTACAAACTACATCTGTCAAAACTTGTTCAAAATCCCTTCAAAAAAGTATCCCTTCAAACACTCTGCTCGTTTGTGACGCCACTTCGCTCGGAAAAGGTTTAGTGGTCAAAAGCAGACTCACCATTAGCTACATCATAACTAAATAAGTCAGACATTACCACTTAACTGTAGCAATACTTATGCAAACATGGATTTTTAAGCTTTAAACATAGAAAGTTCATAACTGACTTCGTTATCTTTCAAGGTTTCACCGGTATGATAACATTGAACTCATTTGGAAACAGTTCAGTGATATACATTACTTTTGAAATATTTGGTGAAGCATATCCACTCAGTCTCTCATCTCTCTCGTCCATAGAAACCTTGAGATTCATATAATGACTAATACCATTAAAGTCAAAAATTATTCCATGGGAACGACCAACGATTGTTTTAAGTTTAAACCTTCATGATGATGGGACAAACAATATTCCATGATCTCTGTCGCCATTTCTGTTATTAATATTTTTGCGTGTCATTCATATCATCCACTTCTTCCATCCGTTTAGCTTTTGAAGGATATGCGTTTAGAAGTAGCTAGTTCTTAAATGGGTGAAGGCTTTATCACCTTTGAAGAGCATAAACTCTATAACTTTCGCATACTTTATGTTTGAAAACTCCTGAAGCCAATCATTGACATAAATTTTTATAGCTTCCACTTTGTTTCATGTTCCTGCTTCTTCCCTTAGCTCTTTTGTTCAGTAGTTCTACATCTTTATACAACAGCTCCTGTCTCAGTGAATTCAACAATTATTTTCATTCGTTAGCTTTAAATTCAAACCCTTGTCGAGCTATATTTGTTCATTTCATAATAATAAAGGTTTTATTCTATATGAAATGAGGAAGCAAATCCATCTTACTGGTGCCGGTTAATGTTCCAATTGAACCAACATCAAATGTTGACTCACGAACGACAAACATATTGTCATAAAAGAACTATAGTTCAGAGGTTTGAAAGAACCAGAACCAGAGCTGAAATCGTTGAATTTAAAACACAGCTTCAAACGCTAACGCTACATCAGATGTTAAGTCTAGAGTATCCACCACTGGACCAAATTCTTTCAAGAGAAGCCAACGACAATCCTTAACAAAATGTTTAAAACAAATCCTTCAGATAACGTAGACCAATTACCTTCTTCAGTTATACCAAACAATTTTACTCAAAGAACGATAAGAAGGCTTTTGACAAATCTTATAAGCAAGAACCAAATAATTCTAACAAAGGAAGGACCTTGAAAATCTTATCTTCACGAATAACAGGAAACAATGTGTCATTGACTATCTCGACCTGAATCGAACGCTGTGGTCAAACTCCACTATTCATGAAAATAGGTAACATCCGCATCATTGAAACGCCAGGAACTACAGGAGTTGAGTTTAAAGTATAAATATTCGAACGCAGTATACAAAACTATTCTACTGACTATAAAGCTTGTTTGAAAATGTTTTAGTAAATTAAAGCAGTCAGGAAGTCCTTTGAGCCAAATCTTGGGCTTTTGGGGCGCCGTCGTTCCAAAAAAAAATTTTCAAGTTAACCATTTGTAATAGTCTATCCCAAACTTACTTCAACAGTATCGACGTCATCTATCATAATGCAAACCTATCTTATTGACTTGGTGCAGTTTTCACTAACACAATATTTTTGTTCTGCTTGACTGACATAACTTTTCATTTGTTTCATCAAACAGCAACAACCAAAGTTCATGGACCTAATACAACATCATACTTATATTTTTAGCTTGAGTTTCTGTAAGCTGTTGCATTTAATATTTTCTAAAAGTCAACTTCAACAGTCATTCGCCACTGGTGCTTCAGTTCTACAGGCTCTCCTTGAAAGTCAACAAGTCTGAATTGCATGTCTGTCAAATTATAGAGGACTAATGCGAACCCATTTACCTAAATGAGTTGCTATGACAGGACGTTTGGAATGAACATTGAATTGACTGACATAACAGAAGGATTTATATTCTACTGAAACCTTTACTATTAACTCCTGAAATCGTGACATTAGCTATTTTAGACTCAATGTATAAACAATTACCATAACATACGTATGGAACAGATTTCATCTCAATCGTTTTGTCAACACTTTTCAAAGAAAAATGTCATATGGTATGCACCCAAAGAAGTTGTAACTTATGACTCATTTCTTGGTATCTCTAAACTCCTTCACATAACTGAACTTCAAAACTCTGCAATAAGATTTAACATTCATAAGTTTTCTTCGT